AAAAATCTCTATCAACGGAAGAGAAACTTGCACGAACCGCTTCATGCGAACATTCGAGTCAAACTGACTGAGTCAGCGACCGGAGAATCTCTTGACTCTCGATACTGCGCTCACGTTTTATCGTGGCCTCTTGCGATGGCTTAGCAAATATACGCTGATCTAAAGTTAATATATACCATGCGGATACATCATGCGTCATAACATACGTTGAACATATCTATACATATATAGTGTATGTAATGTATAAGAATTGTAATGCTGGTAAACACGTTCCTTGTTCAGCAGAGAAAACGCACGTGGCTTATGTTTTTACCATCGAAAAGCTTTCCGATTGGTTGTTGGATACTCGGAACAGCGGTCGAGCCTTCTTTTGCTTTCTTACTTAAAAGAATGAGAGGAAGTGAAACACGCTGTTGGATCATTGACCTATATTGCTTTCTACGTAACTGACTACCCCGTCATTTTATCGTGAAATAATATATTTTTTTCGATAATTACGTCAATGAAAAAAACTTGTTTTTTGATATCATTTTAAATTAATGATTTTTATATTGATAACAAATTTGTTAAAGTGGTTAATTTCATCAAAAATTGATTAGTAAAATGAAAATATGTAATTATATATTATTTATACAACACAATATTATTAAAAAAATAAATGACCAAATAAATAGCAAGTAACGCAATTGAAAAGATATTGATACGAAGGTCAAAAAAACAATTTCTAGCGAGCTATCTTTCAAACAAAAAAATACGCTAGCTAACTGCTATGCTGTTTACGTATATTTACGCTATTACGTGGTGTTGCAGCTAGAGTTGGCTCGATCAAAACGAAGTATCTACACCTACATACAATCGCGCATGATCGCACTGAAAAACAAATTAATTTTACAACTAAACGATAATAACTACGCTTACTGATCAAACTTTCCTATTGATCTACCGTGTACAACAAGATTAAGATGGCATCAAGAGAAACGTATTTGATAGTGATAAACATTCGATTGAGAATGATGTTTTATGAGCATGTAAAACAATATTAGTAAAATGGTAATATATTTTTAACCTTAATGTTATTTTGTAATGTTTTCTTGTAACGAATCGCTACAAATCGATAATTTTCGAGCTATTGCGTAATATCGCAAGGTCATTTATTCTGCGCGCGCAAGTGCTTCATGCAACATAAGTTTTTGGTTTATTAAGTGGATAAATATTAAATAAATTTTTTGGATTATTATTATAAATTTAATAAATAGTACATGATAGAAAGTGAATTATTAATTTTTTTGATTAACAATTTTAATATTTGAAATATATGTGATCATATCATATTCTATGAAAAATTTTATAATTGTGTAACATCTATTTATAAGAATGCATTCTCAAATATTTAATTAATATTTTAATTAAATTTATATTGTCTACTTACAAAATATAAAAGAAATTTAATAAAAATTAAAAATTTAATCAGATTTATGATTCACCATTTTTCTAATCATTTATCTTTAATGCCAAAACAGATAATTTGAAAAATTATAAATAAACTTTCATATTTTTAATTGTATTTTAATGATAGTGATAATTTTTAAAGATAAATATAGGTCAATATAATTTTATATTCATTTAGATCATTTAACCTAATAAATACAATATTTGAATATTCACATAATGAAATAATTATTTCAACTAATGATAAAAAAATATTAGTTTTATGATTTGTTGTTTTTGTATATATTTAACAACAATTTTTTTATTTCGATTGTTCGGTTTTATTTTCTCTTTATCATATCATTTTGATTGAATTAATCAAAAAGAAGAAAAATATATTGATTAAAAGATAACGTTAATATTGAGCAACTTCGTGAGGGCACCACATAGCGAATGATAGTTGTTTATGTCGATAATATCGACGAATCATACACTCAACTCCGTATGGTTCAAGTCCGTACTTTTATTTTTCGTTTAATGACATATTTATTAGATGTAATTTACTTTTTACAAATTTAATCAATAACAATTTGTAAATAAGCATATTATTATGAAATGAAATTATGAAATGTTCGATTCATTGATCAATTAATGATTGTTTGTGAAAAATCGAATGCAAAATGACAATATTGCTGAAAATTACATGATTAATGTTTCGTAACATTAGTAAAATCAATCAAGATTAATATAATTAATAAATATATCAAAAAAACAATTTATTATTTAACATAGTATAATTTCTTAAAAATTATTATTATTAATACTAAATGAACAAAAATATAAAGAAAAAAAAGGTAAATATAAATATGTATTTCATCAAATCGATCGATTAGTTGCTTTTTATATCGAGAGTTATATTATCGAGTTACACAATCTTTCAAAGAAAATAGATTCATTGATGATTCTCGATATTTATCAAAATTTTCAAATATAAGACTCGACTATGATTTATCTGAAAAATATTGAAAATAATTCCATAATGTATTTTGTATTATTCTGAGTTATTTGTGATGTTGATTTTCATAAAAATGAAAAATATGTCTCAAAAATTTCGTTAAATTAAAAAAAAAAATTAACAATTTAATTTTTTCTCGAATAATAAGATATTATTATATATATATATATATTCCTTGTAAGAAAAGTTCGTTTTTCATTATTCATTATTTTGTTTTTATTATTCACACCATATAGCGAATATTGATAATTTCTTTTTTATATTATCAAGTTTCAACATATTATTTAGATCAATATATAATATAATATTTCTAATTATAAAATATTAGAATCGATTACATAAATATTCAGACACTGCCATTATATATACATGCAGCACAAGTAATAGGATATAATGAAAAAAGGAAGAGGCGATAAAAGGAAAAATAGAAAGAAAGACAGAAAAAAGAAAATTTATTTTACAGATTATTTAACAGATTTTTTTTAACGATAAGAAAATTTTATTTTTTTTTTTTTTATCAAAATCATGATGATCAAGAACAGATTTTTTTTGTATTTGGTAAGTTTCTTAATAAATATGTTTACAATGATTTGTTACAATGAACACTGAAATCACGTATCATTTTATCACAAGTGCGCAATTTATCAAAAGAAATTTTAATTTTATTTTTCAAGAGAACAATAAAATATCTTTTTATAAATAATACATGTAATTAATTAAATTTTTTACAAAAATAAAAATTTTAAAATCAAAAGTTACATTTGAAAATTTCTTTTTCTCGTTATGCTTTCTTCTACGAAATTGAAAGTAATTCACTTTTCTTTTATTCTTTTATTTTAAAATCGATCATTTATCTGCTACTATAGAGTAATGAGTAATCGAAATTGTTGATTTGAAAGAAAAAAAATAAAAATAAAAAAATGAAAAAAAGAGAGATGAAAAAAAAAAACTAGGAAATGATCGATGAAATTTATATTTTTTTTCCAGTTTTTCCTATTTTTATTTTTTGTTTGCATCGAATTAACATCTTTTTTTTTTCTTTAAAGCTGCTTATCGTGATTTTTTGATAAATTTATTACTGTAGATGAAGATGAAACGTTCAAAATCGACATTATATTTGACAATCTTTTGATAATCACAAAGAATAATAGGATAATTTTCTTGAAAATTTAAGAGATATTTTATATTTTATCTATTTTATTTATTTTTTACTTCTTTAAATTATTTTTCTTGCACCAACATAAAAAAAATATTTATAAAGGCAGTTAATTCTGGTGAACATTCGCATTGATTTTTATATTATCAACTAGATAAGTTTATTTAAATTAATAAATAACTTCACATTTAATACATTACATTAATCAATCGAATATTTGGATTTCAGATTTTTTTCGATAAATAAGAGTTGAAAATTTATATCTTTTACTATCTTATTTGTGAAATTATTACACATTAAAATAAATGTTATATTTAACAATTTTTTATTTTTAGGTCAAATCAAATTTCTCTCTAATAAAAATATTTTATTGAGTTAAATGATAACGGTTTGTTACCAATGTTGCAATATGTTTTTCATCAAAATGTGAAGAAAATTAAAGAAGCAATAATCATTCGAGAATATTTTAATCTCATAAGCGAGAAATCTTATTTTGCGGCCATTTTTAAATTATTTATTATAAAAAAAAATTTCAAAAAATTATTGTATATAATATAATCTATATATATATATATATATATATATATATATTATTT